CCTTTTCTGAGCTTGGGTCACATAACTACTGGACCGTGGTTCTATGAACTCTTGTGACGAAAATGGAAGTATCTTAATGCTTGTCTAATCATTGAGATGAAATGCTTGACCGCGGATCTTGAATGTGATTAGAGAAAGAGGTTTTTACCATTGGCGTGGACTAACCTAAAGAATGAATATTCCATTGTCTAAGATAGTGTTTGATTCAACCTTTTGCATCATTGTTTGATTGTTGATGCATTCTTATGATAGTTAACCTCATGATTCAATGCTTTTATCTTGTTTTTCTTCTTGCATTTTAGTTTCTCACATTTCTAATATTTTTAAACCAAACAAAAACACCAAAAATATTTGCTATAGCTTAGTTTGTTTCTCGCATCTCTAGTGTGCAATTTTTAGTCCTCGTGGGATCGATCCTTAAGTACTCCTTGGTGTTCCATGCACTTGTGGATTATTTGAGACTTTATAAATGTAAAGCTTCGATCGCCTATTGGATCTTTGGTCTTTAGCAAAGGTAAAATAGCGCGCATCACAATTCAGCAAATAGTTTTTTTTTCCATATATATATGTGCGTAACCGGTACAAAATTGGTAACATGAATGCGAAAGTGAAAGTAGCAGAAACTTCCATATTACATATATTTGCACTTTAACTAATTTTTCGAATTTTTCTAAAACTTTTAGGATTTTAACAATATTCTTCTTTCTTTCTTTACTACATAGTATTGTGCAGAAACGAAAACCGAATGATCCTAAATCAGAAAAACAACATACAGAAGATTCCTCATCTCATACACATATCTATCTTAAGCAAAGTTCCTAAAAGATAAAAAAACATAATCAAAGATCAAATACATGAAAGTCGCATAACATCATGTCAGTAATCAGAAGAAGAATGAACCTTACAGAAGCGAAGAAACCCTAAGGAGATTGAGACCTCCACCTTCTGCTGGTCGCTGGAACTCTTGAGTACGAATGTACTCTTTTGTTTCCATTTCTCCAACAACTGGCTAGATGTTGGCAATGTCCAAAGCAACTTGTGTTCTCCTTGTGTACAGACTGGTTTCAGATGGTTGTGAAAATTCATCAGAATGACGAAGTTCATCCTAATGAGTATGAAGGAGGCTATAAAGCTGAGCGTCATCCAACCAACCAACCTGGGATGCTTCAAAGATGTTGCAACATCTAAAAATACAACATGTTAATGGTACAAGCAACGCAATCTTGATAATTTTCTGAAACATTCAACAAACCTTCATTTTGTGGATTCATGGTGAGATGGTTGTAAAGTACCATGATTAGAGAAATGATAAATCTGTTACACATCAACATGATAAACAAACAAACACTTAGTAGATGATCTAGTCACAACTTTCATCAAGAACATTAACTAGATCCAAAATTGGAAACAAAACATAATCTAGCTAGATCACATAAATTTTTTCAATCGAATCACATCATCGATAAACAAACAAAGACTTAGTAAATGATCTAGTCACAATTTTCATCAACAACATTAAACTAGATCCAAAATT